AACTCTGGCAGGCCGGGAGCGTGGGTAACAACCCCGGGCGAGCTGTGGTCTTCAAAGAACACGCTCCGGAGGTGTTTTAGAGAAAGCCTTGTGCCCCGCGACAGGCCCAAGGAGTGGGAGATCTTGGCCACCGGGGTTCAGAGTCGCCTCGTCCCCTCTCCAGGGGAGCGATGAAACCGTTTGGCTAAAGGTTGGGAGCGGGGTGGGGACAGGACTGGATGTGATACGCCACGTGTTTGGGACGCCTGTTCATAGTTTGCTCTTTTTTGGAGGCCGTGAATTAGAGGCGGGGGTCGGGGGGGGGGGGGGGGGGGGGTAAGTAAATGAAGTTTTCTGTGACTGGAAGAGTAGATGGTGGAGCGAGGTAACCATTCGTGCAGACGTTTGTACCAATTTCCTGCCCTGTATTTAGTAGAGATGGTTACATTTTGCTATTAACCACCTATATGCAGAGCCCTGTATGGAAACAGAGGCACTGGAGCTAGCGTATACAAGCCCTCAAATATTTTCATACAGAACGATGAGCTAATGCTATCCATTTCACTAACACACTTTATGCAATTTAGAGACAGAATTTCCAGGTACTGGCAGATGACAGCACTTTCACTTCTAAAAAAGAAACAACTCTCCAAATCATTTTAAATTAGCATGTAACAGATATATGCAAGCTTACAGCTTATGGAAGAAGTAATAAAGATGGGATGAGACTTAAACACCAAACGCTTTTCATCCCAGAAAATAACCCAAGCATCTGATAACTTCAATGACCGGTGTATTCTCACAAGAGAGCAAGTACCAAAAGCTGTAATCTTGCAGTTTAATTTCCATAGCTGAATAGGGTTTAGGGTGCAATCTCTGCAGCACTGCTAGTGTGATCCAGGTATGCACTAATCATTTATCTATCCCTCCCACCACCACCAGCTCATATAACTAAACTTATCTTTTTCTGAAGATAATATCCTAAAACTAAGTGAACATAGGTGCATGTGAAAAGTCCGCCCAGTGACTGCACAGTGCTTTTTATCATGCATATAAAGAAAATCTCAAAGGCTCGCTGTAAATGCCAACGTTATATGTTTTATTTTTAATCAAGTAATTCTTTTAAACCTCACAATATCCATGACTGACGGGGAAAAAAAGACATTAGGCATGAAATGAGAATATAAAATACATGATATGTAGAAAGGCAATCAGTGCTTTAGTCCCTCGAGACAGTAAACAGGTGAAATGACCTTCAAAGCTTCAACTCACTGTCTTTTTCTTAAAACATAAAATTCAAGTGATTTTTCTTTTATTTCACCTTGTAAACAACATACAAGTCAAAATGGACAATGAGGTAATCTATCCTACAGAAGATAATTTAAAAACACTAGATAAGACACAGTATTAAAGACATATAGAAATCAGTGTTCACTTTGGTCTCTAGTATGGTTATTGTTATTATTATCACAAGCAACACATACTAGTTTAAGCCAGTCTGGTGATATTTGTCAGCCAGTTGTTGCTTAACTTAGTAATCCAAGAGGTAGTCAAAACCATTATCCTTTGTAAAGATGGTTGCTCTTACGTTTGGTTCAATGACAATGGTAGCAAATACCTTGGTACTTTTCAACATTCTCATAAAAACACTGGCGAAGCTGCTAATACGCAGCTCCAGTTTATATAAAAAAAGAAGCACGTGTTCATAGATCAACCTCTTGTTATCAGTCAACGGTTTTAACAGGGATAACACTACCAACGGATCTTAAAGAAGAGGCTGTTGATATACTAAGCAAAACAAGATCGATGCATTTAACAAGGCTCTGCTTGTTTCTAATACAATACTCAAATCTCAGTAAGACTTCTAGAAAATTAAAATCAGTGCATCTGCACATGTACATATCTTCCCAATTACTTTTATATCTAGCACAGGGGAATACATATATATTTTTAATGATAAACATTTCTTACAGATAAATTAATTAAATTAAATTTAAGACTCGATGAGATTTCCCATGTTCTTTTATAATTCTTCTTACAAAGAAAGAATGTTACAAGATCTATAAACACTTTTTACGGGGCTCTATTCACAAAACTAAGTACGATGTAGCAGGAACTCCAGGATAACACTGGTGCAGAGTAAAACTGGGCTGAAAAAGGTGGCCTGCAACGGGAAGAGGTAGGATCCAAATGTGGCGTTTGGCACTCCCTGAAAGCTGGCTAAAAGCAAAATATTGCAAATGGTATTTGTAAAGCCAGATTTACCCTCGACTGCAGCAAAAAGTTATTTGGCTCTTCCTCCAAATACAGGTCTTCTTTGTGGCCTAACTTTGGTAGCATGTAAATAAAAACCATGCCCTCTCCTTGGGGGAGAATAAAAAAATACCTCACATTGTTCCTTATGATCAAATCAAATTAAGTATTTTGGGGTGGGGGAATGGGAGGCAGACATATTCTTGTTCCAGGCTTAACCTTATCTCCACTATTGTTAGGAGAAAAACACATCTCTCTGAGCGGATATTTGAAATGCTTCTACTCAAACGAGTTTTTTTGTGAAGCATTCTGGCAAGGACAGGCTGGTGAATAGGGGAAATCTAGGCTGAGCCAACGCTGCAGAATATTAATTTTGTCCTTAGACATGACGGAAGAACCTCAAACTCCGTCTGTGCCTCCTCCTTTAAAGGGTTCTTTGCTTATTTGGAGCAGCCTATATTGAAGGAGTATAACTAGATTTTTTTTTCTACTGCAGCCCAGTGCTACGTAGTCACCTGCCACAGCTTGTGCTGCTGTATGTTTAACTCGGGAATGTACTTTTTTGTCTCTTCTGGAGATGTATTTATTTTCGTGAACAGTGCCCATAATCCTTTAGACAGAAAAATAAAAACTTTCAAAGAAATGTTTGGAAATGTCTCACAATTTCAAATGGATGCTTCATCTTAAACAAGTATTTGCCATAATGTATGCGGTGGTGAACTATCAGTTACATATTTAGTACAGATAAAAAGTATGTACCATAGATCAACAGCCACCTTTAAGGCTAGAGCAGCACAAAGGTGTGTTTATGCAGTAAATATGAGGTAGCCTTTTGCTGTAAACAGAATAATAATTTTATTGTCACCTATGTAAACAAAGTGGGCTTGATGCTTCTGTGGTTTTTATTCTTCTCCCTCCACCCCCCCTTCCCCCATCCCTCCCCTCCCAGAAAAGCTAAGCACCAGTAACTCCGACTGGAAGTCAGCGGGAGCTGCGGCTGCCCAGCATCTCTGAAAACTCAGACCCTGTGAATGTAAAGACACAAACGCTCACGTAAGCAACCAGTACAGAATACCACTTCATCATTTCACAGGAACTTATAATACAAAATGCTGAGATCTGATTATCAGAAATGTAGGTCTATGTCAACTCAGAGGTAGTTACTAATATCAGTACATAATACTTATATAGAGATAAAAAGGTCTAAGACTATTTGGTTTGTTCTGAGTAAGCAGGTCTGTAGACTATTCTGTAAAGAATAAACAACATTACATGGTATATTCCCTGAGCAAAGTTCTTTGTCCTGAGTTTGTTATGTAATAGTGATAACATTCTAATATATAAAAATAAAACCTTAAGCTTTCAACAATAAGATAGGGTTTGGTATGTGCTCTTAGCAGTTCAGTCTGACTCCGGTGCACACAGCGATTTCAAACTGCACCAATAAAAAATCTGCACGTTGAAAATATTTCCTTATCTCAGCTCTGAACTTCTTACATATAAACAGGGAATGACCAGTTTTCAAATCCACAATTGCCTATTTCTAGAAGGAACTTTGGTTTAAATTTTCAAAGTGACCTAAGTTTTGCATCTTTGCTGTTTAACCTGGTTTTTACACCGGCTAGAAGGTTAAGCAGTGCCACTTTGATTTGTCTACATAATTTAAATAAGTTTACTATCCTTACGTAAGGCAAGGAAGTTCTTCTCTATAGATATATCACATTCAATATCGTCAAAGGTAAGCTTTGCATTAGCATATTGAGAACTTCAGTATAAACCATCGAGATTCTCGCAAACACTGGCAAGGAATTCACACAAAATAATTTCCTTGAAATTGTGCCCTTCACTGAGGTGTTTGATTACTACCTGTTTACTGAAGCAGCAGCAGCAGCAACAGTAAAAGTCTCATCTGGCAGGACTAGCGGGAAGGGGAAGGCCACGTAACGAGCCAGCTGCATACCTGTTGCAACTATTGGCTGCAAAAGAGTTACCGTGGGTAGGACTTTGGCTCGCTGTAGCCTTTAATGCAGGCTGTTTCTTCAGTTTGATTATCCGAGCTTAAACCTACCCGACTCTTTCAGGCTTTAACAGCCTGTGTTTATTGCCAATGTTAAGGATCATACAGGTTTCTCTAATTAACTTACATCCGCAATGGGATTTGTCAAAGTACGTTATCTTACGTATGACTTGGTAATTCAGAAGTTACAAATGGAAAGCGACTTGAAGTTTTGATAGGCTCCAACTCTATTAACCCCGAGCAAGGGCTGCAGCCCAGGGAGTCTCACTCGGAGGCCACCAATCTTTCTCCTCTTTAATGCAGAGGTGTGTGGTCCCAACGCACTCTGGACCAAGGCCAGTCAGCAACAGTCTCCGGTTCACAAGAAGCAGATGATGCTCAGGGCTTCTGGCAAATTTGCGGGTCCCTTCACTCAGGCTCAGCCGCAGCAGATACCTGTCCTTCTTGGCTGTACACATGCTGCATCATCAGCAAGGGCGGCTGGCTGAGCAACCCCAAGTACCCATCTACCTTTATTCTTAAGAAACTGTTTATCCCAGGATCTCACTAGCTTTGCATTTTGTTTTCTTCAAAACCAAAACAGACACCACCAATAAAAATCCCTAGGGAGCTCTCTCCAGGGCATGTCAACAGAAAACAAGGGGGAGGTCCCTTCAAATTGAGGGGCACTACTTGGGACCAAGGGAAGTTGCTGCTGCTGCTGCTACTACTGCCGCCAAGGTCCCCTACATGTTCACAGAATACAAAGGGTCTGTTTGGTAACATTCTCCCCTACGCAACAGTCATCTAAATTACAGTTACAACCATATTAATTTAACAAAAAAGTTTTGAGAAACCAGCAGAGAAACTACACATTCATTGTCTTTTTCTGGAGCTTTAAACTCCTCACCAACAAGGGATGGTGGCAATGAGAGCCGTGTTGAGTCATGACACTGCCCTGCACGGGCACAGGGAGGGACGGGGTTTTGATATTTTGTGGCGATCAGAAAGAAAGTAACTCCAATTGATGGTATGGGGGATGTCTTAGTATCTTTAGTACCATATGGCAGCCTTAAAATATGAACGTATCCTTTGGTTCACAAGAGAAGTAACAGTCTTGATCTCGGTTCTCTGTGTGGTTTATCAGGTCTGGTTTGTTTCTGAGTGAGATTTCTCGGGTTCTCTTGTTTGTTTTTTCAACATGTTTAGAAACAGGTTCTAGGAATGAGTTCAGGAACATTTGTGGGTACTGTGCCTATTGCTTCACAGTAATGTCTTGTGGGAGCTGAAGAGTGGTCTGATGGAAAAAAATATATATTTATAGATATGTACACATACACACACGCGCGTGCACACTCATACACACACATACAGAAGGTAAAACGTAATGCACCCTGCTCAAATGTATTTTGCTTGGAGTGATTTGTCTATTAAAGAACAAAAATTCACAGTTCCTCAACAGTAGTTAAAATTCCAGGTCAGCTACTGATAATGAAATTATTTCCCCTGTACTTGCATGAGGTAGACATCCCAAGAGGATAAAGAAAATTGAAAGTTACGACAAATGCTTTAAGTTTTTTTTCTTTTCTGAACAGAAGGCCCCTTTCTGCTCGGTTCTTCGGGCGACGCAGACAACTTACTCGATGAGGCTTCCTGTGGTGACCTGCCCGAGCGCTCCGAGATCTCTGACCTGCCCTCCTGAGAGTATGATGGAGACGAGTAGCCGTGCGTTCCTCCCCCTTCTCTCAGGAAAGAAGCAGAAGTGGAAGGCTGCGGTTCAGCTTCGTGTCTTCCCTGAGAACTAGTGGGCTGCTGCAAGACAGTTTTATGGGGGCAGTTAGCCACCATGTGCATGATGCTCTGACAGTAATGGCACTTCTTTGGCTGTGGAGGTAGACTACATTCTTTAGCGTGGTGGTCAAGGCCACCACAGTTGTAGCATCTAAAAACAAGGAGAGACAGCCAGTTATAAAATGCACTGTCAAACGGTAGTATTTTCTACGCCGGGTAAGCTCAGCCTGAGGTCTGCCGGTGAGACAGTGGGGGTTTCTGCACCCCACTGCCGCAGGCTGAGGTACGTTTGAGTATTTCTGAGTCACTTGGGAGGCGCCCCTTTGCCGCACCGGTGCCAAAATCCACCTGGTGCTCGGGGGCCGGGAGCCTTTGGAGCCTTTTGCCGGGGACGCGGTCCCGCCGGCCCCAGCCCTCCCCTCAGGGCCCCAGCGCCCGGCCCCGCGAGAGGGCGCCAGGCGTTCGGCCATCCCGCCGCCGCCGCCGCTGACGTCTCTCCGTCTACCCCGGTATTCACAGCGTTGAACGCCCGCCGGTACCGGCGTTTCGGGCGCGATGAGCATGGCGAACGGGGGGCGAGGAGAGGAGGCGAGGCAGCCATCGGCGCCGGCCTCCTCACCCCTGAGGCGGCCTCCTCACCCCTGAGGCGGCCTCCTCACACCCCTGAGGCGGCTTCGCTTTGCTCCGTCATGCACCCATGCCGTAAAGAAAGGTGCAGAGAGGAGACCCTCGGCCCTGAGCGTGTCCTAAGCCACGCCGCTTTCAGCCAAGGGAACCCAAACGTGGCGGCGGGACGCTGTGCCCGGTCACTAGCCAGGCTCCCGCCCAGGGCCCGGTGCCTCGCCTCCTCCGGCCCAGCCGGGGCCCGGCGGGGCGCGGGTCTGGGCCAAACTTTTACAGGGCTTGTGTTGCTGAGGGCTCTTGACGGCTTTTACGGTTTCGACTCAAAAGAAAATAAATAAAGCCCCGGCAGTACTCATAAAACAGGGGTTGTTTGTTTTCTCTTGAAATTACCACGCCGCGTGCAAGTGGTTGTGACCTGGGGTGCCGTCTTCAGCGGGACATGGCTGCCCAGGAGCCAACGGTCACAGAGCGTCTCCTCGACGCCCCACGGGCAAGGCCTCCTCCCCCGTTCTCAAAAACGGCTAAAATCCACAAATACTCTTCTATTAACCTCTTTAGCCAGGGGAGCCCTGAAGAAATCTCCAGCAATTCCTTGCTGAAATCTCTCGCTTTGTAACATGTGCCGGGACTGCCAGTCCTTGCATTACATTATTCTAACACATGATACCCAGAATTACACATCTTTGGCACGGTGACCCTGTGCCAGTCGTGTTCACCACTGAGCTTTCTGTTTTGGCTGTTTTTCTATGGCTTCTGGTTTTTTGTTTTATAAAACTTGCACTGAATGCATAGACATTTAATTTATTGTAATCTGACATGCTACTGGAGAAAACTGAACCAGTAACTTAATTTGCTCTCCCTTAACCATCAACTAACTTAAAAAATGACTGCACAAACACTTAGGCCTGGTGGAGTCAACTGAAGGATTAAAGAAGACTGTAACTATAACTAACCATATGTACAAAATAGCGCAACATGTTCTACCTCGAGCCCACATCAAAATATTTTAAATTTTCAGATTCCTGGAAAGTAACACAGCACTGTTTCAGCTAGTATTTAGTGGTCACTACTGGACTATACAAACCCAAGAAGTTTAGTCCATGCAAAGCTGTATGTAGAGCTGGAGTCTCAACTACAGAATTTACTTTACCTTCCAAAGAAATGCTACTGATAAAACCTGTGTAATTTTAAAGAAGATTGCAAAATGGCTGTTAACATTTGCAAATCCACTCCAAGAAACAATCCCTCAGCTCCTCTCTCTTCACATCTCCTCTTCACTATTAGCAAGACACTAACCATATCTTCAATAGACGAATGAAAAACACAGTGTAAGTTACCCATGGCATGCTGTCGTGTCCTACAAGACTGACCCATAATTTAGAGAAGTTAAATGATGAACAGAACTTCATTATCTTTTCAGAAAACATTGTCATTAAATTGTCATATCTTCCCTAAAAATTAGTAAGAAACGAGTAACCAGACCTATTATACTGAACTCTGTACTTCTATGACAACTGCAGTAACGTATTTTAGGTGAACTGGTTCCAATTTTATGTCACCACTGCACTGAAGTTTTATGTGATTTTTCAGTGGAATTTGAAGACTATGCTTAGTCTGTCTGCATGTAATACAGAATAACCTGTGAAGAGACACAGAATATAAACCTTCCCTTGAATCAAGAAGAAAATCCCATGTACAAGCCCCACTGTCATTTAGTATTGATTTCCCTAGCATAGGAAGGGAAAGAACATACTAAATATGTTGTAAAATACAAACGTCCTGATCAAGACCAAAACATCAAGATTTTTTCTCCTATAATTAAAACAAAAGTTGTAAGTTACTAAACAATATCCATCTGACTACCTTTCCCCAAATCACTGCAGATATTTTCAAATTAGTGATCCCCACTTAACAGTAGCATTCAGCTACGTTTCCCTGAAGCGCTTTCTAAACATCTTCTGGATAAAATAATAAGGAAGTAAAACTTGCAATCAGAGAAACAGAAGAACAGCAGCAACAAAAACCCTTAAGTGTTTTACTTTCTCCTCCAGTAAATACACCCCAAAATTCACAAATGTGGTATTCACTGTAATTCAGGTTATATTAAACAGTGATGTTTATTATTATTTTCTTCATCGGTTTCTAGCAGTATACTTGTTTCTGGACTAAATACAGTGTAATACAGTATAACATGGGAGTGTGCACACATTCTGGAAATAGTGCATTTTATCTTCATTCAGAATACAGAATTTTATAGCTGTGAATGCATTTGCACTTGCTATTTCCCTTAATATCACCTGTATTTAGAACGGTTAAAAAATAAAAAGTTTGCAAATAGGTTAATGGGCCTCTGTAGCAGTGTAGGCGGTAGCCATGGACAAATCAATTTAATCAGTCACTATGGTATGCACTGTTATCCAATTCAGTGAACCATTTTACCTCACCAATTGACCAAGAACCTGCTGTCAGGGCTCCTGCTTCCACTCAAGAGGCCTCTGTCACCTTTTGCATATATATTTATCAATACATCCTATTTGCAAAATATTGTAATTCCCTGCATTTATTCAAATCACCACTAAAATGTCACCATAAAATAAAACTCTATCAGAAGCAGTTGTGATTAAACTATGATTTGGCTTTTCAGGAATGTTTTTTGTTACCAACCAACTCAAGCATCTGGCTAAAGTGTCGCACAAGAATATATATGTGCCAGCCGGGGTGTGCCTGGACTTAAACAGTGGGGTGGTATTTATTCAGTTCTTTTAACTATTTATTCATTCCTTGTCAATCACTCTTACCAGGAGAACAGATCACACCCCGCTCTGAAATGCCTTCCCTCTCAAGTGATTTACACCAAAATGGAAATGGTCAGCCACCTCAGAGTTCACAAATGATACCACATGGCATCATCCGCGCGCATTAAGGTATGGTATTAACCCTTTTGTCCAAAACGCTTCAACTCTTTGCTCCTCTCTGCCGTATGTACTTACAACATAATGCAACCTGATAGCATATGATACGGGCACACAAGCTTATACATCCACATCTCCACATACATAGATGTATCGAACAATATACAAGCTGGCTCCTGCTAAGAAACTGGCAAATTCTCATTTGAGTACGTCCGCAGAAACTCTAGGTTAGTACAACCATAACAAGTATTTCCTCACTTCAGAAGCACCATGGAAGTAATGTATGTTAGCTTAAACACACCACGGAAGTTTATATGTAAATTACATCGTCAGATGAATAAACCACAAAAAGCCCTTAAAAGTGCAATTATAGTAGAAAAAAGCAACAGCAAGAAGGCTTTGTTAAAATAGGACTGTTTTTCTCACAGTAGGCTCCCATGATTTACTAGGTAGCTTCAGGCTCAAAAAATAATGCAACAGAGTAAATAAAGAGATGGCAATTATCCTAACAGGGAATCCTTTCTTCACTACAGCACTGACAGGAAGGTGAATCAGGGTGATTTTTTTATATAAAAAAAGATGAACATTGTAATAAAGGAACACCTTGAGGAACTTGTCTAGAACTGTATTTCAGTCTTCTCAAGATAACGGTAACTTTAATACCGACTAATGAAGAAAGAAGAGAGCGTACAGCAAGGTTAAAAAACACTTCTAAATTCTCCTTCACTATGGATTTGTCACTGCACAGAACTGGAGATATCAAAGGAAACATGAATAAGCAAAAAGCGAACAGATTCCTACATAAGTTATGATGTATTAATTGCAATAAACTGATGACTGAGACTCATTAGAAGTACTCAATTTCACAACCACGTGCAAGCGCAAAATAAAATACTCTAGTTTTCAGCTTTTTCCCCCGTCTCAGCAGCCAGCTCCTACTTGGGAAGCACACCCTACCCCTACCCCTTTTAAAATGACAATACCCCTGCCTTGCAAATACATGCACCACAAAAACAGCCCAGCCGAGCTAAGCAGTAAGGAGGGTAAGCACAACTGCTTGCTTCTTCATGCGGCTTTATACTATGATTTAGATGATAATCCAGTATATACAAGTAGAGAATCATTTTTTGTGGCTCCACACTATTACCTGTTGAGACAAAAAGCTTTAAAATTACCCTGATGATTTGCCTTCTTTTGGGGGGTGGGTGGTGTAAACGTCTAACAGGGATAGCAAAGGGAAAAAAAGGGGTATAGTCAGAGGAAGCTTAAATAGTTCACCAAGATATTCCCTACACCAACTCCTCTTCTGTTTTTCCTTTTTGAATGCTATCAGACAACAAAAAAATGCACCTTGGCTAACAATGCTCCATCTAGCAATGTTAATGCTTTGAAAAATCGCGTGGTATTCTAACAGCATGTGCAAGTGAGATGTTTTTACAACACACTGAATGCCAACCAAGCAGTTAGAGCACAAAGGAAATGTTTAAAATTGTACCTAAATGTGCTGTCTTTTTTAGTAATTACTTTCTCAACATACCTAAAGAAAGGCCAGTTCTTGCAGACAGAATATACAGCAGATCACCTGAACTACCCTATTTTGCAGTAAAGGGAGGTT